TCTTAAGCCTGAAGCCACCTTTGAGGGCACACACCTTTGTCTCGAGGCTGGAGGACCGGGTCCACCTGGGACCATTCGGTCAGGGTGCGTTCTTCCGGCCTCGTTCAGGTCTGCGTCCGGATGTGATGTGGAAGATGGGGCGTCCTTCCTGCTGAGCGCCAGTCCCGACTGGTGGCTGGGTGAGTGGGGATGCGCCACCTGGGCCACCACTTGCCCTGATCAGGGACAGGCCTCGAGGTCTCAGGCGGTCTGGACGAGGGGCTGGGCAGGTGGCTGGGATTAAGAGGAGACGTGCTCGAGCTCGGTGTGCGGGGCGGTATCGGGGTCCCAGTATTTGTCTCTTGCTCCTTGCTGGTGGTTGTCGGGGTCGCTGGGGTGGGGAGCGTAAGGTGGCGAGCATGCATGTGGACCGTGTGCGTGCGCGTGGCACGTGGGGCTGGTTGTGTGTTACCCGCGATTCGGGATCTGTGCCTTTTCTGCACGTGACGTCCCCACAAAGGTGTCTGGACGTGGAATGAGTCCGTAAGATTCAGCGTCGTGGGAGACGCCTTCCTTGTTCTGGGCTGGTGGGTTCTCCCGGGTCTCAGGGGGGACCAGCGTGTGTGGGCCCACTCACCCCACACGGCCCTCGGGCGCCAAGGGCTTCCAAGTCGGGCAGGACGGACGGGCAGAGCTGGGCCTCTCCGCACCTTGACCTTGCCACGTGCACCCCAGGTACCCAGGCTGACGTGTCCCGTCTCTGACGTTTCCAGGGTCTCTGGAGGGCAGAGGCGCCAGCGTCCCTTCTCGGAGCATGGCCAGGAGCAGCCTGCTGGACAGGGCAGAGCCCAGCTTCCTGACAGACATCGGGCCCGGCTCCCAGGAGCTCCCAGACGGCCCCCTGGAACCCTGGGGCTCGGACGCCGGCTGCCCCAGCCTGGCCCTGCGGGATGAGATGGACAGCATCTTCCCTGACTTCTTTCCCTGCTAGGCGGTGGGGAGGGGGTCAGTGCCACACGTGCCCGTGTCGCGTGCCGGGTGGCTCATCCCGGGTTCGGGGGGGCGGCAGGGCCGGCTGCGTATTAAAGGCGGTGCTTCTCCGGAAACCAGAGCTCCTGTAGCTTCGCCTCTCTGTAATCGGTGCGATTCACTGGGCAGATGGCACCACTTGCACTCAGAGCGCGGGCACCTGCCTGGGGCTTTGCTCCTGCGACGGTCTTGGCCTTGAGAAGTCCCTGAATAGCCCTGCAGTCTGAGGAGGGCTCCCGAGGACTGGGACTTCTGTGCTCCGGGCCTGCTCCCCGGAGAGGTGGGCGGGGACCCCACTTGTCACGCCTGTGAGTGCCCTCTGCCCTGGCCAGGGCGCCCTGAGGAAAGGGCCGGCTTCCGTCTTCGAGGTGGGGACCTCTGCACTCCTCACACAGGGCGGGGCGTTGGGGGGCCCAGTGCAGAGGTCACCTGGCCGGTCCCAGCGCCGTCCCAGCTGCCCCTGACCTCTGGGGCCCGGGGAACGGCTGGGTTACTGGGAGGGGCGTCTCGGGCCCCCGTGGTCTCGTGCGGCGGACCCTACCCGGCGTGACCGTGAGCCACGGCAAAGGCGGGTGCCGGTCTCTGAGCCAAGCTGGCTGAGGTCTCACCGCACTGCTCCTGCTCACCTCCTTCCGGAGACGCTGGGCTCCAGGCCCCCCGTGGAGAGTGCTCAGGGGCCTCAGGGCCGTCTACCGTCTGGGAGGGTGGGTTCTCCCGTGGTCTCGAGCCCTCTGTCCAGGCTGTTTGCCTCACCCCTGCGTGTGTCTTTGTCTCTGCGGCTGGAAAGTTCCATCCGTTCTGTCCGTGAGTGGCCGCAGACGACGGTGATGAGCGCTGGCGTAGGATGGAGGTGAGCTGGAAGGGACCACGGCTGGGGAGCCGTTGCCCCAGGGCACAGTCCTCAGGACCTCCCTGGTTGTCGCGTGCGCGCGTACATGTGTGTTTGTATGCGTGCAGCACGGGGTGGGGCACTGCGGGTGCCCTGTCCTCACCCTCTGCACCCTGAGCACAGCCCCGGTGACTCTGCCGGCTGCCTGCGGAGTCAGGGTGAAGCAAGCACCCGGGCCCTGCCCCTGTGTCTCCCGTTCCCTGAGCCCAGAGGGGGACCCCGGGGTAGAATTGTTGAGCCCCGCCCCTCCCACCTGGGAGCAGGTCGGTCTCCGCGGGGGCTAGGTGCAGGCTCCGTGGAAAACCCCGGGTGATGCTGGGCAGGCTGACCTAGAACAGTCCTGCCCGGAGCCCTGGGTGGCCCAGCCGTGCCCTGTGCTGACCTCAGGTCGGCACCAACAAGGGAGATCGGGAGTTCGACTGAGGTGCCGGGAACAGAGATGATACGCTGCCCCACCGCCAGGCCTTGCCTGGGAGGATGGGGCCCTGTCTCGGGTGGCAGCCTCCCCATCTTGGGCCTGTGGGGGGGGGGGGCCCTGGAGCCACTGTCGAGAATGATCCTGAGGCGCAGTCGGGCTCGTGGACTTGCTCCCAGCGCCCCCAGTGGGACCAGAGGGGCCTGGAACCAGCATTCAACTCTGCCCTGGCCGTGTGATCCCACGGCCTCTGCCCTGCAGGCCCCGGCAGTGTGGGCATAGAGCCCCGTCCCTGAGTTGGCTGGGGCCTGGCCTCCCTCCGATGGACGGTGACACCCGGGGGAGTGGCAGGTGGGGCCCGCTGGCACGGACCCCCGGTGAGCTGGAGGAGAGCAGGGCTGCCGCGCGGCCTGGCGGGGGCTTGGCTGGGGCTGGAAGGAGCCTCAGGTTTCAGGGAACAGCTTTTGTCCCCACCCTCCTCCTCTCCAGCCCTTGGTGGTGGTGATTGTCGTTGCACGTGTTCAAGAGGAGGATCGGAAAACTGTTAGGCTGGTGATTACAGGCTGGTGATTCCGGGCTTGTTTTCTGGATTTGGGGGAGGGGGCAGCGCTCGGCACAACCTCCCCTCCAGCTCTCAAGGTGACCTGCTTCCCTCCTCACCACCCCTGCTGGGAGGGCCTGTGTGCCTGCAGGTAGGACACACAGAAGGGACACGGCTCAGCAGGACCCCGGCCACCCTCAGGCCGAGCACTTTGGATGGGGACATTTTGGAGGGACTGTGCCCACAGCTGGGGTTTGGTGCCCATCAGCCTTTGGGCTGAGAGCTGACTGTCCGTTACTGTCTTCCCACCCTCCCTGAGCCCTGTCTCTCCGGCAGCCCTCTCTCCTCTCTGTCCTCCTGCCCTGCCCGCCGCCCCTCCCCTGCTTGGATCTCCTGGTCACCGGGGGTCACTGTGAATGGGGGGGGGGGGTCGTCACTGTGAGCTGGCGTCTTGGTCAGGGTGCTCGGTGCTGCTTGGTGGTTGTGTGTAACCCACAGCAGTGTAACCCTGAGGATACGCAGATCCTGCCCCAGAGCCCCGGGGGGGTGGGGGGCTAGGCCGGGGCCTCTGCTGCTGGGGAGGGGTCACAGTCCCAGGGCCCCCCTTCGCCCCCAGGCTTCCATCCGATCTTGGCAGGAGGACCATGTTCTCCGTCCCCCACCGTAGGTACCCAGTGGAGGCAGAGGAGGTTCTCCCGAGACCCCTGCTTGACTGGCCCGGCCTCACTGTCCCCCGTGTCACACACCTCAGGGAGCCAGAAACCAGCTCGGTGCCGTTCCGTGCCTGCCGTCGGTCCCTTGACAGCCAGGACACCTTGTCATCCCCCAGCAGGCCCGGCTGTCCCCCAGCCCATCCCCTGGGCACAGCGGGGTGCTCACGGCAGGAAAGGGGCCCCCAGGCCTGCTCACAGCCAGGGCGGCGGTCCTGAGGTCCACGCCTCTTGCTCAGAGGGTGACGGGACAGGTCCCTTTGCCCACATCACTTCCCTCCCCTCCCCTCAGTGTGCTGGCAGGGATTTTGAAAGCTGGCGATGGGGGCGAGACGCCCTGGGCGTGTCCTAGAGGAAAACAGGAGGCAGGGCTGGGGGCTTCAGGGTGAGAGACTTTACTAGAGCAAGGAGGAGCAGGGAGGCGGGGCACCCCCGCCCAGTCTGTGATCCGCACAGGCGTCGCAGGGTGGGCCTGGCCTCCGCCCCAGGCTGAGAGCTAGCGGCAGAAAGGACGCAGAGGCGGGACACGGGAACAGCCGGGGGCGCGGGGGGGCCCGCTGAGAGGGCAGCCGCCCGATGGCAGGGGTGGGGTGGGAGTGAGGAGGTGACTCCACTGTTGGCTCTTGCTGGAAGAATGAGCTGGAAGGAAGCGGCCCTGGGCGGATGCAGGTGGGAGCGTGGCCTTCTGATGGAGGAGGCTAGGGTGGGCCCCCGAGGGGTGGGGAGGCCCCCTGGGTGCTGGGGTGTGGCCTGGAGGCCTCATTCCAGCAGCAGGGGTGGGGGCCCCCTCTTCTGATGGGACGAAGGTCCCCTCCGTCCAGGCTGGTGCAGGTGCGGCACAGCAAGCCTGTCCCTGAGACCCCTCCTCCAGGGACCCCTGGCCTGGGACACGGTGGGCTTGATGTGTGGCTCAGGCGGTGGCCCCGGGGAGGACGGGGGCTTGGCCGCTGTGGGGCAGGGTGCTCCCCACGGCTGGGCTCCAGGGCAGGGGAACCTGGGACACCTCGGTGACCACCCCAGGGGCTGTGGGTGGGCACCTGCCAGGCTTTGACGACGCCGGGAGGAGTGAGGTGCGGTCAATGACTGTCCATGCTGCGCCCGGGGTCTCGGCCACCGTCATTTAACAGAGACACAAGCATGTGGCCAGAAGGGGTCTCTAAGCTGGGTCCCGCTGGGAAGCAAGGGACCGACCTAGGCTCTGTCTACTAGCTGCCTCTGTCCCCGTGAGACTTGCTCCCGACCCTACGACGTGGCCATGGAGTCTGGCCCCGTCGCCTCCCGGCATCCTGTGCCGCCATCCTGGCACCCTGGGGAACCCCTAGCGGCCTCCCCCCACTGTGTGGACGTGAGGGTCCCCACCTCTCTGCCCCCGGCAGCCCTGGCCCCCTGTGGCCACCAGCCAGAGCACCCCCACAGAGCACACTCAGTCAGGGGGCAGGTGTTTATTGGGCACGCCAGGAAAGGTCTCCAGGAACGGGGGCCTGGGGGAGGGGAGCGGTTGAAGGGCTCCCCCCGTGGACTGTGAACTTCTAGTCCTCCGACGGGACGGTACCGGCGTGGGAGACGCTCCTGTGAGCGAGAGGGGCGGCGTGGGTTTGGGGGGTGGGGGACCGATGGGGCAGATCCTGTCCCCCGGTCTCCTTCTGCAGACTGGCCCCGAGCCTCGCAGCAGGCCCCCCCCAGCGCCCCAGGCCCCCACAGCCTTTGGGGGACTCTGTGGGCATCCCCAGGCCGGCACTGCCCCCACAGTCTTCAGGGGACCCTGTGGGCATCCCCGCTCTGGGTCCTGACCGTGGCCCTGGCGGCCGGAGTCTCCCCGAGCTGCCAGCCCTTAGCCACACCCCGCCGCTGGCATGGTAGGTGGTCAGTGCCCGTGGAGCAGCACTTGCCGTTTCACCCGGCCTCGAGGGGCCCCCACGCCGCAGCCCCTGCAGGATCAGAGCTCGCTCACCCGGGCCCAGCAGCCTCTCTACGGTCGGGCGTGCAGGCAGCGATCTGTGGCAGGAGGGGCACGGGTGCTGAGTGGCGGTCCACGCTGAGCCCCTGCGGCCTCCCGAGGCCGGGCTGGGGGTGGGCGCTTACCGGTCTGGGTCAGGCTGATGATGTCGGTCGGGCCGGTCCCGTGGCTCCGGCAGTAACTCTTGAACGTGTGCAAGATGTCCCAGCCCGCGGTGGGGGTCCTGACTGCAGACAGAGCGTCGGGCTGTTCCTCCCCAAGGCCGTTCGGGATAACGGGCCTCGGGTTCTGGGAGCTTGGAGATGGCCTGGGATTTTCAGGGTGCGGGTGGGGCCGTGGGGACAGGAGCTGCCGTGACCGGGGTGGCTGGGCTGCCCGGCAGCTCCGTGTCAGGCCGGAGCGGAGGTGAGGGCCCCACGGAGCCACCCCCGACCCTCGGGTGGGGTCCGGCCCATCGTCTGTGCCCCAGCCCTTGCCGTCCCCACGCAGTGATTCCTTGGCGTTCGTCACGTCGGGACGGAGGGCCGGTGTCTGACGGACATCTGCGGGCGTCGGGGTCCCTAGGCTTGTTTAAAGGCGAGTGAGTCAACGTAGCCGTGTTTGGAAGGTACCGTGCAACACCCGCAAAGGTGCACCCAAGCCGCGTGCTCCGCGACCACAGCCCCAAAACTGACCCCCACGAAGCTGAAGCAAACCGGGCCCCGGGCCGCTGGCTGCTGGGGGCAGCTGCGGTGCTGAGGCCGCGGGGGCTGGCCGCTGCCACTCGCCCTCCCCGAACGGTCTCTGCCCCGGGGAGAACCGGTCCGTGTCCCCATGGCAGCTCCCACGTGCTGAGTGCTGAGCCAGAAGTCGGCCTGGGTGCAGCCCGGGGCTCCTGGACGCTTGTACCTCGTGGGCCAGCACAAGAGGCCTGGGGGCCCAAGGCAGGACTGTCAGCCTGCACGTTTACTAAATACGGTCATCTCAGCGCTCCCTGCAATGGGCTGGACTGGGTCCCCTGAAAGGTGCGGTCAGGTCTTTGTCCCCGGGACTTGGGATCTGGTTTAGAAGCAGGTGTGGCTAAGGGTCGGGATGAGGAGACGCTGGGTGCAGGATGCGCCCGAAAGCCAACGGCCAGTGTCCTTAAGGGAAAGGGAAGGGAGGTCTGAGAAGGGAGAAGCCTCGTGGAGGCTCAGGGTGACGAGACCACAGGTCAGGACGTTCTGGTCTTCGCCTCCGGAACCCCCGTGACCAGTGAAGTCCGACCCACGGCCCTTAACCGTGGGCCCGTGGGAGGTCACCTGTCTCCCAAACACGCTTTCCCGAGCCACGTGTCCCAACCCTCCCGCGTCACAGAGAAGACGCGCTCCACACCCAGACCCCGAGGCCTCTGATGACAGCAGGGAGGCGTCACAGCCCACGGGCCACCGTCTGCTAACCTGCTCTTGTGGGACACCGTGTCCCCGGTGGCCTCAGGTACAGCGTGGGGGCCACCGGCCACTGCAGGGTCTCTCTGCTTGTAGGCAGGAGTGGATGCAAGGATGGGGTCGCTCAAGACTTTCCGTTCTTGATGCTAAAGCTCAAGGGGACTTCCGTGAACTGCTGACGTGTGTGTGGGTCTCCCCTGTTTGTCTAACACCCGATCGCCGTCCTGTTCCCCCGTGGCCTCACGGCAGCCGACCCCCACCCCCCGGCTCCTGCCGGTTGGGGCAGGAGTTCGCCCTGCCCCGGCGGGGGGGGCGGTTTCTGGGTGGCGGGCACTCACTGAGGAGGCCCACCATCACCGTCTTCTTCCTGTGCCTCCTGTTGTGGATGCAGGAGGTGACAAAGCGGTGGGGATCCGCCTTCTCCATGAAGATCGTGTTGTGGCCAGCATCTGTGAGTCCGGGGGATGGGCGGGAGGCAGGGGTGCGGAGTTCTCCGCCAGGCGGGAGCCGGACCCTGGGAGCCCTCCTGTCCCTTTACGGCCATTGACAACTTGGTGCTCGTGACCAGTCAGGCCCCAGGAGGGGGGCAGGGCCGGGTGCAGGCTTCCCGCCCTTCCCGGACACCCCTGCCAGCTCACCCCACCCGCCCGCTGCCGAGAGGGCCCAAGGGGTGCCGCAGCCCATGGGTCCCTCCTGTGAGGCGGCGTCCTGGCCGGCGAGCTCCTGGCCATTCTCTGCCCGGGAGTCCCGGGCTGGACGAGGCTGCCGGTTCGTATTTACGCTTCAGCACGTACTGAAACTTCCTTCTCGTCTTACTTGCCGTCAGTACAGTTGGGATACCCCTACCCTTTACCCTGGGAGAGGATGACACGGCCCCCTGGAACCCGGCATCCGGAAGGCGTGGTGTCCGTGGAGCCCCTCGGTGGCGCTGCGTGGGGCTTGGCCACGCTGGGCGCTGGACACGTGTGTCCCATCCCAGGGCAGTGAGCCCCAGCCCTGCCTCGTGCGACCGCTGACCTTGGTGTCCCTGCACCCCACGGGGCCCGGCACGGGACCCTGGACCTCGGCCCCGTCTGGCACCCTCTTCCCAGACTTCTTACCTTCTGTGGACGTGGAACTGCATGGTCTTGAAGGTCACGTGGATCTTGTGGATGAAGAACATCGTGTCTGAGTCCGTCCTGAGGAGTTTCGGTTCATTGGATGCTCGTGCTATCGAGAACCAATTGCCATCGACCTGCCGAGAAGAGCAGAGGGGGCCATGCTGGTGCGGGGTGGCGGGGCGGGGGGCGACCCTCCCTCCAGAGGGAGCCCTGAACTGGCCCCTTTCCCGCTGCCCCCAGCCACACCCCCCGACTCCTGATGCCTGCACTGGCTACCAGATTCTCAGTGAAGTTGGGGTCCTGGGGGCGCATGTGCAGGGCCTGGGGGCCACCGAGCAGGGTGAGCACGAGTGCCAGCCTCAGGACGTTCATGGTGAGGCGGGAGTAGCCGACGGACGAAAGGTGTCCGGAGCCTGTGGCCGTGGCCCTTTTGTCCCCTCCCGGGAGAGGGTTCCGGGCCACGTGGTGGGCCGTCACGGGCTCCCTCCCGCTCCCCACAATGATCCTCTATTTGTCACGGCCACCGCCAACAATGCCACTTGGCCGCCAGTCTCTGCCCCCTCGGTGCTGGCAGTCCTGCCGTTTCCAGAACAACAGGGCCCGCCTGGGCCGCTTCCAGTATCCGTGCGTTCCCGCTGAGCGCCGGACCTCCAGCCATCGAGGCTGACGCACGGCCCCGGGTGGCCGGGAGGTCTCCTCTGACAGCCTCCCATGCATCGGAGCGGCTTGCTCACGGTGTCCGGGCACTTGGCAGGGGGTCTGAGGAAGCTTGCGCCCGGGGCCGGACCTCGCCGTGCTGTGAGACGGCCTGGGCTGCCGGTACCTCTCCTGGATCTGCCCATTTGGGCAGAGCAAGGGGAGGCCTAAGTCCCGGGGTAATGGGAGTGGGGTAGGGGCAGCGGGCGGGAGTCAGAGGAGCCCCGTCTCCACCGCAGTCCTGTCCTGAGCCTCCCCCTGTGGGGTGACCTGAGCTCGGCTGAATTCTGAATTCGTCCTCAGGGACCCCCAGGGCCCGCGGGAGCAGAGCAGGCCCAGTGCACGAGCGGGTGGCCGTGTCCCCATGGGCTGGGGACACTCAGGTTCTCTGAGCCCTGGGGTGCCCCCCACTTCTTGGCCGCAGGACTCCTTGCGCGTGCTCCCGTGAGCGCCCTCGCCCCCCTCCCTCCTGCCAGGCGCCCACACCCCCAGCAAGGCCCGGACCCTGTGCTCTCTCCCCACACCCATCCTCACATCCCCGTGGCCTGCTCCCCTCACAGTGTGACACCTCAATGTCAAAGCCTGACGAGGACAATGACGAGAAAGGAAAAATCACAGGTCACACGCATAAAAGTTCAGGGGCCCCAAATACATGTAAAATGAACCCAGCAGTGCAGGAAAAGCGTGGTGTATTGAGGCCTAGTGAGTTTAACCCCGCTAGCTTGGTTCAGCCATCGGGAATCAACGCATTTCACATTGAGAGCGGAGGGAAAAATCGTACGATCATCGTATTTGCTGCAGAAAACACATTTGGTGAAATTCAACAACTATTCGTGATAGTACCTCCTACCGCCCTAGACACAAAAGGGAACTAATCTGTTTAAAGGGAGATCGTTACACCGTTAGAGACTCTTAAATACAGAGAACACGCTGGGGGCTGCTGGCGGGGTGGGGAGATGGGCTAGACGGGCGAGGGGCATTGAGGAGGGCGCCTTTGCGATGAGCACCGGGTGTTGTATGTAGGGGTGAATCACCGGGTTCTCCTGAAACCACTGTTATGCCGTACGTTAACTGACGTGGATTTAGGTAAAATTGAAAAATTAAAACCCAAACAGGCAGACTGCCCCGGTCCTGCCTCAGGGAAGGTGGAAAGCTTCCTTCTAGGACTGAGGACGGTAGGCGCCGGCTGTCCCCACCGCCACCGAGCAGGTGCCGGCCCTTCCAGTAAAGGTGGGGACGAAGCCGTGGGGAGAGACTGGTGTCAGGTGTGAGTGAGGCCGTGGGCGGGTGTGCAGTTATGCGAAGAGCGTCACCTGTAGGTGAGTCTGTTGCGCTGCTGAATTTGGAAAGGCATGTGTGAGCGACCGCGGGACCCGCACAGAAGGAGCTTGTTTCTGTGCCCGAGAGCGCACGGTTCTTCTAACGCTTGTTACTTGTTTTGGGGGGGGTGGGAGGGGGGAGGGAGGGAGAGAGACGAGCAGAGCAGGGGGAGGGGCAGAGAGAGGGAGACAGAGTCCCAAGCCGGCTCCACACGGTCAGCACAGAGCCCTGAGGTCACGACCTGAGCCAAAGTCAAGAGCCGGCAGCTCACCCGACTGACCCCCCCCCCAGACACCCCTGTGAACGAGGCGAGATGAGGAGGGTGAAGAGAGTTTGCGACTCAGTAAAACACAAAAGTCGAGTAACCGGAAATGAATCCAACAGGAAAAGCGCGCAGACGTTCTGCCCAGAAAACTATGAACTGGCATCGAGATGCTCAGACTAAATAAACGCTGAACCTCGCACGCGGGTCCGAGGTCCCGCTGCGTAGACGTGCGCGCTCCCTCCCGTCCGGCGGACGGATCCCAGTCAGGATTCCAGCCGGATGTGTGTGTCACGTGCAGCTTTAGCAGCCGGCCCCAAGTTTCCCGGACGCTCCCTAGGTTCAGTTGGTGGGGTCTGTCCCGGAAGACTTGTGTTCTCGCTGCGAAGTCTGGCATTAGGGCCGCTGTGCTGACGGGAGTGTCTGCGCGCAGACCGTCCCGAGCGGGCCTTTCTGTAGCGGGTGGCCCTGCAGAGAAGCGCGGGAAGAGACGGTCTGCCCAGCACGCGGCGCCGGGGCAGCTGGCCGGCCGCAAGGACCAGAAGGACCGCGAGCCCGCCCTCCGCCCACGCAGACGAAATCCCGCAGTGCGCCCAGCGGCACCCCGCCCCAGAGCTGGGTCCGGGTTCTGCGTCCAGGACCTCGGAGTGTGACCTCGTGTAGGTTGGGGTTTTTCGAGTTTAATCAAGTTAGGAGGACGGCACTGGGGGCTGCACCCAGTGTGGACGAGGCCTTCATAAAGCGGGGAGGTCTGGACACACACACTCGGAGGAAGGTGTGAGGACCGCCGGGGACTGAGGACGGAGCAGAAGTCGGGGCTGTGGCCAGCATCCGGGCCGTGTACGCAGCCCCAGAGCCGGGAGGGGCTGGAAGGTCCAGTCTTCCCTTGGAGCCTCCAGAGTGAGTGTGGCCCTGTGACCGCTGATGGGATCTTGGGGCTATGTGACACCCGTGCAGCAGGATGGGGTCAAGCGACAGCGGGAACAGGTGGAACCCCCAAAGGGGCAACGGCAGGGAGCTCAGGGAAGGGACCGTCGCGCGGCTGTGGAGGGTGAGGCCAGGCCACCCCGGGGAGCTGGTCCCACCCTGGGCCCGGGGGAGCCTCGGGGAGGACGCAGCACCCCAGAGGACGGAGCAGGGCGGGGGGTCGACGGCCCAAACCTTGAAGAAGTGTTCAACCCCACCGGCACCCCAAGAAATGAAAATTATACTGAGACTCCAGACACCTCCCCACCCCCTAACGCCCCAGAATGGCTAGAAATAAAATGACGCACTGGTCACGACGAGGAAGGATTTTCTAGGGGAGATGTCAATTGGTCCCAGGACCTTGGAGAGCCAGGTGCATCGCCCGCAAAGCCCCTGGACGTGGCGGGAGCTCTGCCAGGTACGTCCCCACAGAGCTTGTTGCATCCACACGACTCCTGAAACAGAATGCTACGGGCACCAGTGACAGTCACAACAAAGTTTATGACAGTGAGAGGCAAGGCCGACCGATCGGGACCAACACTCTTGATAAGAGTGTGGCTCTGAACAGCCGGGGTACAGAGTTTTTAAAGCCGATCACATCGTTTTATCATTATCTGGGAACAGAACAGAGAAACAGTTCCCAGATGAGTTAGAAACAGTTGCCAGATGAGTCAGAAACAGTTATCGAATGAGGTGATTATTTTAGACTTTCTGCCGCTAAGTTGCAACCAGTGGATCTCCTTGACCTTGTCTCTGATGCTCTTTTTTTGAGCTTTTGTTTCCTTCATTGGTAAAGCCTCATTCACAAGAGTGTGAAGTATGATTTACAAGAGTAAAAGCAAGGCTGTTATCTTTCGACCTTCAGTGTCAGAACAAAGTTGCTATTTTTCAAGCTAAGCGTTAGCCCTACGCTAATTTAACCCTTACAAGCTGTGTCCCCGCAGGCCCCCAGTGTCACAGCCGCCACTGCCAGAGGCCCGCAGCCGGGCACCTCTCCATCCGTGCTGCCATGAGAGGGGCCCCGCGCCATGCCTGTGAGAACACGGGGCGTCCTGGAGTCCCTGGCACCGTGGGCCCGGTCTTACCTTTATTCTGAATGAAGAAGTGTGGGGCGGGGGGAAGATCCAGCAAGTTTGGATGCTCAGATGGCCCAGGCCCCTGGATGGGGTGAGGGACGTGGTCCCCTTCTGGCTCAGGGCGAGGCCCCTGCCTCCTAGGTGGGGTAGGAGCAGGGCCGTGGGCTGAGGTGGGGCTTTGGAGACACCCCCCAGAATGAGAGTCTGGAAGGCTGGAGTCTGGTTCTGTATTTCAACATGGAAAGCATTTTGGGGGGCTGTTCTGGCAAGATACTGGCTGCCGTTGTCAGGACCCCCCGCTTCTTGGGGTCTTCACACGCCAGCTTTGGAGCGGCTGCCCAGGTGTCTGTCTGCAGTCTGTGGTTGCCCACCTCCTTCCCCTGAGATCCTGGAGGAGGTGGGTGCCCCCCACCCCGGCACCTTCCCCACCTGGCCCAGGTTGGGTCTCAAGATGCCTGCAGCTCCAAGAGTGAAGAGTGGGGTCCGTGTCACGAGACGAGGTGCTGCTTGTGGCCACGGGGAAAGGCCTTCACCGGACGAACCCCTGGGCTGGGGTCCTTCCTGCTCGCCAGCGGCCGTGTTCTGACAGCTGGGCACTGAGGGCCCTCACCCGTACCCCCATTCAGGTGAGCCTTGGCCTTCCTGGCATGCTCAGCATTCCCCGAGTGGAAATTCAGGGGCTGAATAGGGTCTCCCCGAAGTTCATGTCCATCCAGAACCTCAGAATGTGACTTTATTTGGGATAAGAGTCTTTGCAGATGTGATGAAGGTAAGAATTGCCGTGAGGTCGTCCTGGACTAGGGTGGGCCCTGAATCCAAGGCCTGGTGTCCTCGTGGGGGACAGAGGGAGAGACACAGGCTCACAGGGAGGGATGAGCCACGTGAGGACAGAGGTGGAGATAGGAGGGACGCTGCCGCCACCAAGGCTGGGACAGGCAAGGGACAGGTTCTCCCCCGAGCCTCAGAAGGGATCAGTGCTGCTGACCCCTCGGGTTTAGCTCTCTGGCCTCCTGCCTGGGAGAGAGGACATTTCTCTGTTTTAAGCCCGGTGTGTGGTGCTGTGTGACGGTGGCCCGAGGAAGCTAACCCGCCTGGCAGCTGTTACCT